AAAACCTCACTCAATTGCAGGGGAAACTGAGGGGAGAATCAGCCTGACTCACTAAAATGTTAAAATTAAATATTATTTCAGGTAAGAGTGAAAGCTAATCGAGAAAACAAGAGTTTTCTAATAGAGGCTAATGCAAGGCCACATGGCATTTAACACATACGAAACAAACTAGAGTTGGTAATATGTGTTAAAGCAATTCAGAGGAGAACTAGATAAGTATAAATTTGAATATCACAAAGAGCTCTACAGAAGTAAGACTTATGCTCGACCTCAAAAAAGAAAAAGCAGAATTTGAATAGGCTAAGAGAAAAAGAAGAGTCATTTTGGAAATAGAAAAGTGTACATGAGAGCAGAGGGATGAGGAGAAACTGAGGAAGTGAGAGCAGGCTGCCCACAGAGGAAGTAGTGTATGTTGGGTAAGGAGTTAAGACCGCCTAGTGGGCAGGGCCTGGGTGCCCAATTGTTCCAATAGCATTTGTTGAATCTGCTTTCCTTCCTCCACTGAATTGCCTTGGCAACTTTGTCAAAAATCAGGTGGACATACACGGGTGGGTGTATTTCTTCTGGATTCTGTTCCATTAATTGGTGTTAATATTTTCTCTAATATCACACTATCTTGATAACTGTAGCTTGATAGTGAAATCAGGTAATGTGAGGCTTCCCATTTCCTTCTTTTCCAAAATTGTTTTGGCTAGTCAAGGTCCTCTGCTTTCCCATAAATATTTTAGAACCACCTTGTCAGTCTATACACATATACAGGAAAAAAGCCTGTATTTTGATTGGGATTGCACTGACTCACACCAATAGCCTTTTGAGCGGCTTCTCCTCACCCTCAGTAACGAAGGAACAAGGAGGAACAGGAGTATCCAGCCCTTGAGGTGTGCACACAGGGAAGGTGATGCCATCCCTTGACTCGATGTGAGAAAAAAAGCTTTTTTTTTCTATCCAGTTAACATTAATCTTGTATTTTCAAAGGCAAACACATGCACTAACCATTTACATTTTTTAAAAATACTAATCTTACTGTTGCCAATGTATCATTTCTATAATTTTACAAAGATACAAATGTTACTGGAGTGAGACCTCAGTCAGCAAAATGGGACAGGAAATCATCCAGATTGCATACTCCACCTGTTGAAATCAAGGTGTGGTTCCTTCCACAGGCAGCAAACTTTACTTTTTCAGGTTTTAAAGCTAAAAATACAAAAATGTGACAATTAAAATATTTGGGGTTAGGAAAATGATCAATAATCCAAGTCAAATGGTAACTAAGTAAGAGAACTGAGATTTGAACTCAGGCCTGCCTGACCTCAAAGTCTATGTCCTTAACTACTAAACTAAAGGTTCTCAGAACTAGTTCTGCATCCTAATAACTAGTGGAGTTTTGAAAAAAAGTAAAGATGGCTGAGCCTCACTTCTGAAAAATCTGAGCTAGGTCTGAGATGGGGCCTAAGCAGCTATACATGTATTTTTAAACTTCCACACATAATTCATATGTGCTGAGATCTAGTACACTCTCCCAATGCTGCCTCCTAGAAAATGTTTCCTCACCAACCTGACCTGTCCTACCATTAC